CGCAGGTGCGAAAAGCCTGGGCAGAAAGTATAAATTGAAGACTGCGAATTTTGCTCATTTCCACCATTTCTGAAGACGGGTTTTGGAGCTTTTGGAGTGATTTTGAAGGGAGATTCAAGGGGTTTTCAGTGAGGTAAGTTGTTTGAGCTCTAGCACTCCTATCTATAGTGTTTTCCCGTTGTTTTATCAATTAATTAGTGGAATTAGGGGTGAAAATGAGGGGTTAGGGCTTGGAATTTTAGAGAGTTTGATTTGAGGATTTGAGGGACCAAATGAAGTCTGATTTTGATGAATTTCGTATGTATGGACTCATGAGTGAATGGGCTTTCTAGTTTTGTGATTTTTGTCGGATTCTGAGACGTGGGCCCGGGGGCCGGGTTTGAGTGGATTTCGGGATTTGTGTCCAATTAAGTAATTTTTCTTGTGAAATTGGTTCCTTGGCCTCTATTGATTGCATTGTATTGCTTTTGGCTAGATTCAGGACGTTTGGAGGCCGATTCGAGAGGCAAGGGCATCGCGGAGTAAGATTTTGGCTTGGTTGAGGTATGTAACGCTTCCAAACATTGTTCTGAGGATTCGAAACCCCGAACTATGTGTTAAGTGATTAGTATTGAGGTGACGCACATGCCAAGTGACGGGCGTGCACCGTGAGAATCGGGACCTGGTTCATTCCATGGCACCGTTTAGTGACTCTTTCTTACTGATATCCGTGTTTCCATCATGTGATTAAGTAAATGGGCTGTAAATCATGCTAGATATCATGTTAGGGCTTTACGCCGGTACTGTAGGACCCGAGTGGTCGTTTCTTGCTGTCATCTCACTAGTTTCATTGATATTCTGTACTCAGTCTTGTTCATGTATTTCATATCATGTGTCAGTCTCAGTTGTTATTTATTGGCACATCATATCATTGTTCCGGGCTAGTTTCATGGCATTGTGAGCCCGTGTGTGAGACTGGAGAGTGATGACTGAGTGAGTCCGAGAGCCTGATTATGAGTGATAGTTATGGGATCGGGTTGCACGCCGCACGGTTATGTTGATGATTATGATAGCGCTTGGGCTGTAGGAGCCCCTCCGGAGTCTGTAACACACCCACAGTGAGCGCAGTTGATATAATTGAGGAATGGATCTTCCTTGGACATGGATCTTGTCCGAAGCATTTATACCTGGAGATGGATCTTCTCCGCAGGGCTGGAATGGCCTTCCTCGGTACTGAGTGACTATTGTTAGTGTTGTGTATATATTCTGGGATGGATCTTCCCTGGGCCGGATGGCCATATACAGTACCGAGTGGTTGAGCACTTGAGAGTGGAGGTACATGGTACATTCTGTGCATTCGCACGTAGAGATTAGCTGAGCTTTGTACTTCACATTATCCAGATCTGTATTTACTACTTCTTGAGCTAAATACTTGAATTGAAAGCATGCCTACTTTTCTGCACAGTTAATTTCTGTTACCTGTTGAGGTTAAGTTCGTCACTACCTATCAGTACATAGTTTGGACTTGTTACTTACTGAGTTGGTGTACTTACGTTACCCACTGCACCTTGTGTGCAGATCTAGGTATCTCTGGCCACGGTAGTGGTTGTTGATTTACTCATTAGCGGATCATCGGAGATAGTGAGGTAGCTGCTTGGCAATCGCAGTCCTGCTTTTCTCCTTCTTTATCTTCCCATCAGTGTATTTTGGTTAATTCTCAGACTATGTTAGTCTTGCTATTTTCAGAACAGTTTGTAGTAGTTGCTCATGACTTAGTGACACCCCGATGTCGGGCTTCCTTTTCCGCACTTTTGTTTTAATTTGAACTCCTTTATGAAGGTTTTCTATTAAATAGCTTTGGAATTATCTTTGAAATGAAAATATCATTTTGTTTTGATAATGTTTTCGGCTTGCCTAGTACCACGATAGGCGCCATCACGACAGGGTTACTTTTTGGATCGTGACAAGTTTGTATCAGAGCCTAGGTTACATAGGTCTCACGAGTCATGAGTGGGTTTAGTAGAGTCTTGCGGATCGGTACGAAGACGTCTGTACTTATCTTCGAGATGGCTGCAGAACCCTTAGGAAACTCCATATTCTTGAATTCTTATTGTGCGAATCTGTTGATAGTAATTTTGTTATTCTATTCTCTCACAAATGGTGAGGACACGTGCTACCGGTCAGGATGGACAACCACCAGTACCACCAGTGGGGCCGCGAGAGGCCGAGATCGCTGTCGAGGCCGTGGTAGGGGTAGGGGTGTATCCGGCACAGCAGCTAGGGCAGCACCTACAGATCCACCAACTGCCCCAGTTCATGATTAGGTCCCAGTTGTGTATGCACCAGCGGGACCAGCTCAGGCACCGGCTGTGCCTATTGTTATCCCAGGTCTTTAGGAGACCTTAGCTTAGATTCTGACCGTGTGCACCAGTCTAGCTCCGGCGGTCTCTGTTACTACTACAGCAGCTACTTTCCACGCCGGGGGAGGCACTCAGACTCCTGCCGCCCATACACCCGAGCAGGTTGTTCAGGTAATTACCTTATTTCAATGAAATTCCAAATTTACTCCGAATCATAACTTCAAATTGCTTCTTCTATTGTTAGTAAACAATTAGGAAATGAACTCCATTACAGAGGTGTTATCAATGCCAAATGGCAGTATAAACAAATTTGAAAATCAAAGTTGAGATTAAAGATAAGAATGGACCTCAATGAAGCTAGAATTCGATTGTTTCATAGCTTTGATAACTCAAAAGCTGACAGGACCACAAACAGGCATCGACCGGAATTTGGCTCGGCACAAACCTTCACGAGCCAGTGGCACAATTTGGCTCGCAATTTTTATAAAAGAGATGAGAGGGTTTCTGCGGTGGTCATTTGTCACTTTGAGTAATGAAGTTCGATCAATGTTCAGTGGTGGAGGTCACGTTGTTTAGGTGTTGCGTAGCAATATATATAGTACTGACTATGGCGTTAATGGGTAAGGTTCTGGTGCTATATATTAAGGTGAGGCTGACATGGTTCCTCTGCATGAGTCCGTGAGGTAGAAGATGTGTACGTTTTTGATGAATTCTACACAATTCATCAGAAATAATACACATGCAAGCTCATAGAATCGAAGAAGAAGTGAAGAAGTAATAGAAGAAGAAGAAGAAGAAGAAGAAGAAGAAGAAGAAGAAGAAGAAGAAGAAGAAGAAGAAGAAGAAGAAGAAGAAGAAGAATGCAAGCTCATAGAATCGAAGAAGAAGTGAAGAAGTAATAGAAAAGAAGAAGAAGAAGAAGAAGAAGAAGAAGAAGAAGAAGAAGAAGAAGAAGAAGAAGAAGAAGAAGAAGAAGAAGAAGAAGAAGCTGGGTATATATTCTTGTGTGTGTTTACACGTGAGAGTGGTCCTATTTATAGACCACTAACCGACTAACTAACACCTCTTTTCCTATTTACAATTTAGTCTTTCAACTAGTTATTACTACACATTAGTCTAATCTCTACAACAATACTCCCCTTCAAGCTGGGGGTTGAAACACATTGAGCACACCAAGCTTGAACAAAAGGAAATGATGTTGTGATGTAACCAACCCTTTGGTCATGAGATCAGCCAACTGCAAACTGGTAGGGATATATTGTGGTGCCAACTTCCCACTCTTGATCTTCTCTCGAACAAAATGACAATCTATCTCGCTATATTTAGTGCGTTCATGGAATATAGGATTAGCAGCTATTTGCAGGGTTGCTTTACTGTCACAGTGTAATGACAGTGGCTGCTGAACCTATACTTGTAGTTCCTTAAGCGGACCTAGGAACCATGTGATTTCTACAGCTGTTGCTGCTGGACTCCTGTACTCTGCTTCAGCTGAGCTTCGACTAACAGTTTGGTGTTTCTTTAACTTCCATGAAAGCAAGGAATCTCCCAGTTTAATGATATATCCTGTGATAGATCTCCTAGTATTAGGACAGGAGGCCCAGTCTGAGTCACAATAGGCAGATAAGGTGTCTACAGGACCTGTTCCAAGCAGAATACCAAGGCTTGGTGTTCCCTTTATGTATCTTACCACCCTCAATACTGCATCCCAATGAGATTGTTTGGGATGTTGCATGAACTGACTGAGTACCTAGACAGTAAAGCTGAGATCTGGCCTGGTGATGGTCAAATAGAGCAACTTACCAATGAGCTTCTAATAGCTTCCTATGTCTTCTAAATCTTCATCTCCATTTACCCCTACATGTTTTTCATACTCAATAATGGTCAGCTTTTGGTTCAGCTCTATTGAGGTGGAAATTGATTTAGCTCCTGCAAGTCCAACTTCTGATATCAACTAAAGTGCATATTTCCTTTGTGTGAGCAGAATCCCTTTCTTTAATCGCAGTACTTCAATACCAAGGAAATATCTTAGCCCCCTAGGTCTTTAACTTTGAAGGAATTGTGTAGTGTCTGTTTGGCATCATTTATCAGTTCACCATTGCTTCCAGTGATAAGTAAGTCATCCACATATACCAAGATAACAACAATGTCAGATTTTGTATTCTTAGTGAAGAGTGAATGATCATGGGCTCTCTGATGGTACCTTGCTTCCACTAAGGCCTCAGTCAATCTAATGTTCCATTGTCTTGAAGCCTGCTTAAGACCATATAATGATTTGAGTAGTTTACAAACCTTATACTCCCCTTGTCTCTGGAAACCTTGTGGTAGCTCCATGTATGACATCTTCATAAAGGTCTCCTTGTAAGAAGGCATTATTGACATCCATTTGAAACAAATTCCATCCTCTAGAGGCTGCTATGCTTATGATTGTTCTCACAGTAACCATTTTGGCTACAGGAGAGAAAATCTCATGGTAGTCCAACCCTTCTTGCTGTGTATAACCTTTTGCTACTAACCGAGCTTTGTATCTCTCTATTTCTCCATTTGCCTTATACTTTATCTTGAACACCCATTTAGACCCTATGGCCCTTTTTCCTGCAGGTAGGTCAACAATTTCTCATGTTGCATTGTCCTCAAGAGCTTTAATCTCTTGTGACATTGCCTCTACCTAGTTTTCATCCTGACAGGCTTCCTTGAAATTCTTTGGTTCAACTGTTGCAGAGAACACACCCAAATATGCTTTGTAATTGGCTGACAAATGAGAGTAGGACACAGTGTTTGAGATACAATGAGGATGAGTCTGAGTGTTGAGGGTGTAGCATAGTCTTTCATCCATATGGGAGGTCTTGTAGTCCTGCTAGATTTCCTGACAGCTTCATCAGTGTGTACTTGCTCCTCATGTGACTGGCTTGTGGCTGGATCTGTGACTGGTTGCTCTTCAACTTGTTCTACAGGTTGATGCATAGCAGAAGTACCAACTGAGTATATTGTGGTCTCAATTGGTTCTGTAGTTTGAGTGTCTGCTGCAGCTGGTGAATCCATGACTGGTGCAGGTGGAATATGATCATGGACAAGTTCAACTTGATCATGAGTTGTGGTGGCCTGCTCCTCACTAAAAGAATCCTGCTCCAATTGTTCAGGTGAAATGTCATGTGTCACAAAAGATTCAGCCCATGGGAATAAGTCTTCTATGATCTGATGTCCTTCCTTGAAGGGAAATACTTGTTCCCTGAACGACACATCCCTACTAATAGACACTCTTTTGCTATCCAAATCATATAACGTGTACCCTTTTTGTGTTTTTGAGTATCCTATAAGGACTGAGTTTCTTTCTCTTTGAGTAAACTTGTCACCACCAGGTAAGTTACTTGCGAAACACAAACAACCAAACACCCTCAAGTGCTCTACTTTTTCTTGCTTGTTATGCAACACTTCATATGGGCACTTCCCTTGCAGCACTTCTGTGGGCAGTTTGTTAATCAAATATGCAGTTGTTCTAATGCAGTCACCCCAGAACCTCATTGGCACATAACTTTGGAACATCAGTGCCCTTGCAATTTCTAGTAAATGTCTATGTTTCCTTTCTACTGTGCCATTTTGTTGAGGTGTATATGAACAGCTACTCTGATGTATAATCCCAGAGATGTCAATAATTCATTACACTGATAACTACAGAATTCACTCCAATTATCTGACCTCAACACTTTCACAGTCACACCAAATTGATTTTGTATCATAACAAGAATTTTTTTTATTACAACTAACACTTCACACTTTGATTGAATCAAACATACCCATGTATATCTACTGTAGTCATCCAAAATGGTAACAAAATAATATTTTTTATCATATGTGGACACTCTATCTGGCCCCCAAACATCTAGATGAACAAGCTGAAAAGAACTAGTAAAGTTTGTACTGCTTGAAGGATATTTTAACCTACATTGTCTAGCTAATGGACAAACATGACAATTCTCCTGCACCTGCATGTCCACCTTATTCTTTAACTCTGGAATATGCTGCATTGACTTCAATGATGCATGTTCTAACCTTAAGTGCCAGAGTTCACCTGCTGCTCCTTTGTTCATGAAGAAACCGGCTGCAGCTACTGTTATGTTTTCCTTTAGGAGATATAGTCCATTGTGCTCTCTACCAATCCCCATCACCTTGCCACTATAAAGATCCTGAAACATACAGAAATCAGGAAAGAATGTGACTAAGCAATTGAGGTCTCTGGTGATTTTTAACACTGACAACATATTGAATTTAAAATATGGTACATATAAGACATTTTTAACCGTCTTATTCCCTAGTACTGACGCTTCTCTAGTATGTGTTATTTGTGCCTTGTTTCCTGTTGGCAATTGCACCTCATTCCTTTCTTGATCTTCAATTTTCCTCACACTGCTCAGAATATCCTTAGAGTATGTGACATCATGAGTTGCTCCTGTGTCTATCACCCAATCACACATACCTACATTTGCTAGCAAGGAAATAATACCTGTCATGTTTGTGGAACATTCTAATGTTGCTGGTTTTGACAAAAGCTTGACTAGCTGCTTGTACTGATCTTCTGTGAAGAATTGTCCATTCCCCTGTAGCTGAATAGCTGGTGCCTTTCCTTCCTCATTGTTTACATTTACATTGTTGGTGTAAACCTTTTCTCCTCCAGTCTGATTTTTTCTCTTGCTTTTGAAATCAGCTGGATAGCCAATTCTTTTGAAACAGTTTTCCTTAAGGTGACCTTTGTATCCACAATGCTCACAAATAATCCCTGGCATTTTACCTTTAAAATCCTAGCCTCTTTCTTCCAACATAGTGAGAGGTTCCCTATGTGTATCGACTACTCCCAAAGACCTTTGAGTCTCTTCCTGAGTAACTTTTGCATATGCTTTTTGCTAGTACATTACTCCTTATGTTACTATAACTTTCATTCAAGCCCATAAGAAACTGCAGCAAACGTTGTGACCTTAATGTTCAACTGAAGGTCTAGCCTCCTCATAATTACATGAGGATAGAGGAATCAACACATCAAGTTCATCCCACAAATCCTTCATTTTAGAGAAATAGGTAGTTACAGAATCAGTACCTTGTCTTAATGTTGCTATGGCCGTCCAAAGATGATAGATTCTAGTCAGATCTGATCTATCATACCTCTCTTGGAAATCACTCCACACTTTTGTCGCATTTGAAGCATAAATAATGCTTGGAATCAACTCACTCGATACAGTGCTTCCAATCCAAGACAAGACAATTGCATTACACTTTTCCTACTGCTCTGCCAATCACCTTTATATGCACTCTTCACACAAGTTCCGTCCACGAACCCTAGTTTGCTCTTTCCTCGGAGTGCCAATTTCATCGCCCTGCTCCAAAGTGTGTAGTTTCGGGCCCTGTGAGCTTGAGCGGTATTATGACTAGTGCAGGAGCATCTGAGGGTTTCAAAAATAGCGTATGATTGTGATCTAGTGAGGCAACTTCATTTCCTGCCATGGCTGATCAGATCGGAGTTCCGTCGAGCTTCGATTCTATGAATTTCTTCCTAATTCTGATAAATTCACGATCGCTGCTCTGATACCATGATGAATTCTACACAATTCATCAGAATCAATACACATGCAAGCTCACAGAATCGAAGAAGAAGTGAAGAAGTAATGGAAATTGCAGAAGCTGTTATGAAGAAGAAGAAGAAGAAGAAGAAGAAGAAGAAGCTGGGTATATTTCTTGTGTGTGTTTACACGTGAGAGTTGTCCTATTTATAGACCACTAACCGACTAACTAACACCTCTTTTCCTATTTATAATTTAGTCCTGCAACTAGCTATTAGTACACTTTAGTCTAATCTCTACAACAATAGTTTTGCGCGGGAGACTCTGTCTTTTCTGTGTGAAAAAGTATATATGTAGAGTGTATATGTGTGCTGGTGATAAAAATATGTGTTAAGTGTGTGAATTTTGTTACTCCCAAATCCCAAAGGCAGGTTAATAGTTAAACATGAATCACATATTATATTATGAATCCCGGAGAGCAAGATCAAAATGAGGTGCCTTATGTGTGAAGAGCCGGTGAAAATGCCAAATTGGTGAGTGCTCATACATGATACATGATATAAGATATAGATGTTGGTATTTTATAGCATGGGCGGAGGCAAGGGACAGAAGGGGGCTCAATCCCCTTTTGCCAAAATATTATACTATATATACTAGATTAAAATTATTTTTTTATGCAACACAGAACTCTCAAAGGTTAAATTGTGCTTTCATGGAAGTCTTATTTTTTATTTTAAATTTATAATTTCACATGATACAATGAGCCCGACACTTACTAGTGTTCATAAGAACCCGAAAAATCGAACCAAACCGACCAAAAAAATCGATACTTTTTAGGTTTGGTTTGATTTTGGTTTTGAATTTTAAAATCCGATCAAATTTGGTTTGGTTTTGGTTTTAATAAAAAAATAACCGAAAAAACCGAATCAAACCGATTATAAAAGTAGCTATTTAAATTTATTATCACACACACACACACACACACACACACACACACACACACACACACATATATATATATATATATATATATATATATATATATATATATATATATATATGTATGTATGTATGTATGTATATTTTTATATAAAGTTTCTAATATTTTATGGTACATATTAGTCATTTATATTTTTGGTCTAGTTCTTTGCTATTATAATAATCTAATTCTTTGCCTTTACATTCTAGTTTGATTGTTAGTTTTCTTTTAGTAAGTACAAGAATTTATTTCATGTTAAAAAATAATCGATTTTTAATTGAGTACTTAAATTCTTCATCACCATTGATATAATTATCATCAATATATCTTGAAAATGATAGACTTCTCAAAGAGCAATTGATTTGATAGTGTTACGTTGAAAGTATAGTCGCCGGAATATGCGTTTGGTAGTGTATGTCTCATATTTAATAAAAAAACCGATAAATAACCGAAAAACCTAAAAATCGACATAAACCGAATCGCTAAAAAACCGACTCAATTGGTTTGGTTTGGTTCCAAATATTGAAAAATCGACTTACTTGGTTTGGTTTCTTTTTAGGAAAAAACCGATCCATGAACACTCCTACCGACACTAAAGTAACATAAAATAAAAAATAAAAAAAAAAAACTTTAATTCATAACATTTTCTCATGCTTATGAGGAAAAATGTTTGTTTCATTTTTATACCTTTCTTTTTTCGTGTTGTTTCCTATTATTGAAAAAAGAAGAACTATCTGCATTTTAGCTATACAATAAGAAAATGAAAATTTAACCTAATAAAACCCCAGAACTTCATCCAAGTACAATTCCATTACCTTCTTATACTGAGTTGACATTTTCAAAAAATTCAAAGGTTTCAACAGGTAAGAAAAAGCTTTAAAAAAAACAAATTCATGAAGAAAAACAAAATTAAAAGAAGTGGCCTGACAATCAATAAAATTAGAATAAAAATCATGTTAGAACGGGACCTAAATTTCAACTAAAAAATGTTAAGGAAAAGTCTAACTTTTAGTGGACTAATTATATGCGTGTGCACAATTGATAGGAATATTAGAGTAGTTGTAATTAGGGTTGTCGATGGATATTTAAAAACAGACTAAATCGATCGAACCGTACCGAACCGAACCGATTTTTAGGTTTTTTTAATAGAACCGTACGTTTTTATATAAATCTATAACCGTACCGATAATTAGGGTAGGTTTTTTATTTTATAAAAGTAAACCGAAAAAATACCGAACCGTACCGAATATATTTACATGTGAAAAATAAATTTATATATTAAGTTTAAAAATAATAAAGCATTAAATTTTTCCTTGGGGCTTGGAATTATGAACCCGATTACAAGTCAACAAGTAATTAAACTCAAATCCTAATCCCATCTTATTATGCGACTCATGTTAAAACTAAACTATTTCCAGCATATTCACTAGCAAGACATAAGGTATTCTAGCGATTTATAAGCAGCAAACTACAAAGTATTGAATATGTTTCCTTTCGTATGATTTAGATTTATCTTTTTGAATATTTAATCTTCTAAAGACTTTGTTCTTGAGTCCCAGCTTGGTCAATATCTTTTCACTCGTGTGATTTATATTTTCTTTGTCTTTACTTAGTTTCTTTTACGTTGTTGTTGAGTAGTTGATGGATCTACACTCTAACCATCTTTCATGTTTTCTTAATTCATCACCCTTTAAATAGTAACAATATATAGAGAGTTTTGCTAGGTCCTATAAAAGTATGTATGTTATGGCATTTTACTAGTGACTTTTACATGACATTTAAAAAAATACCGAAAATTAACCGAACCGTACCGATACCGAAGAGAAACCGACATAATTGGGACGGTTTTGAAAAGTTTAATTTTGGCTATACATAATAGAATAACCGAAAAATTGGTATGGTACTAATTTTATAAAATAGGCGGCCGAACCGAATCATTGACACCCCTAGTTGTAATGGGGAAAATTATGTGCATATCACAACTTCAGGGGGAACTTTCACAAATTGTCATTTTCCAGTCCCAGCAATTAAAAGATAGTCACTATCATAATGATGTGTTATTTTTTAAATGGATTATTTTCCCGAAAATGTGCACTTTTAACTCAATAATTTCAATGGTGTGTTATTTTTTTAAAAAGAATATCATAAATATGTGAAACACGTGTATAGAATGCGACATAAGGATAAACATAACGGAAAGAATAGATGAAAGCAATTATTATGCGAGCGATAAGTGTATATGCCGAATACGATTTATAAATCACAATTTCCAAACATAATCTGTAATTATCACCTTTGTTGAATGCAATTTATAAATAACATCTTTTGAATGCGATTTATTTTCGCTAATAGGCACGCCTCCATTGTCCCATTCTTAATCTTCATTGATCCTTATTCGTTACATATACAAAAAAGAAAGGCTCCAATATAGAGTAATGAGTTGTTCTACAATATAGCATAATAGCATTTACTAAGGGCCTAAAAATATTCAACTAGTAAAGCAATATTGAGTGTTTGTATATATATGCATCAGTGAATATTTACTTTAATTTTATCAAAAGAAAATATATGTTTACCTCGAAAAATGTGAGTAATAATTAGATATGACTTGTGATTCTAAAGATATGTGATTTATTCCAATGCTAGTGAATGTACGAATAATATTAAGCTTAAGTAAGAAGGATTGATGAACCAAACTAGTATTGTTAGAGCGATAAGGACCTCGAGTTCGATTATCTCAGGGGCCTCGAGGTTAGCTAAGAACAATAAAGTATGAACAATAAAGTAAGACAATAAAGCTGAAGAACGATTGTTGAGCACGGTAAACAAGAAAAGCGAAGTAGAATGTTCTATTGCAGAGAATGAGATAATCCTTATAAATGATTGTGGTCCCCTTTATATAGGAGGAGAAAACCCTAATATGGTACATTTCCAATTATGATAAAAAATTCTATTGGTACAGCTGTATAACGATCTAGTACGGACTTGTACTATTTCGTACAAATCTTATCCTATAATTTATGCCCTAGCCCACGTGTCCTTGAGAAATTCCCGCTCTTTCTTGAGTGTCTTCGAGATTGTACGCGTTTTTTAGAATAGGATGATAAGAAACAATTTGAACCTCGATTTTCCCGAACCACTCGTGATGACGTCATGCCCGTGATGTAGGCGCTTGAAGTGATCGGAAATGTCATGTTAGTGTGCTTCCCCAAAACGTTAAATACGTTTCAGCCTTGGTCGGCCACTTGCGCCG